AATAATTAATAGATGTGAAAAACATTACCATTGAAATCTACCTGATGACTTTATATCCATGCTCAGATGCCAGGGAGCTCAGAAAGTAACTGAGTGTGCCTGGTAATAATCAGATACATAGAGATTAGAAATGCATGTGCAAACATCTTAGTGTCAGTTGCATTAAAAATGAATTTTTCTGTAAAAAAAAAAATCCTCCTTGACCTGGGCATGGTGGCACTTGCCCTTAATGCTAGCACTTGGGAGGCAGAGGCAGGAGGATTTTTGTGAATTTGAGGCCAGCCTGGTCTACATAGTCAGTTCCAAGGCAGCTGTCCTCTGTGGGCATTGCACGACACGGGTGCACTCACGTGCATGCAGGCAATATACTCACACACATAAAAATTTTATTTAAAATATATTTTATTTATTTATTTTATTTTATGTGTGTGAATGTATTGCCTGCATGTGTGTAAGTGCACCTGTGTCATGCAGTGCCCCCAGAGATCAGAAGAGGGTGTCAGATCTCCTGGAACTGGAATTACTGACAGTTGTCAGACATGTGTGTGCTGGGAATTGAACCTGAGTCCTTTGCAAGAGAAGCCAGTGTTCTTAACCGCTGAGCTACCTCTTCAGCCCCGGAAATAATAATTTTATAGTTAGATTATTTAGAAGTCTTTCCAACTAGGGTGATTAAAAATTTGTTTTTGTGATGCTAGGAGTGAACCCACAATCTCAGGTATGTTGCAACTGATCTCACTAATCTATACCCCAGCCTCTAGAATTTTTTTAAATTCAGCATTTACAAAGACTTCCTTGTGTGTATCTGTGTATTTGTGTGTGTGTGTGTGTGTGTGTGTGTGTGTGAGAGAGAGAGAGAGAGAGAGAGAGAGAGAGAGAGAGAGAGACTGACTCATGTCCCAGGCTGGCCAAAAACTTGCTATGTAGCCAAGGATGACCTTGAATTTCTGATCTTCCTATCTCCAGAGTGCTGGGATTATAGGTAGGTATGCTCCACCTAGGTTTTTGCAGTGCTGGGGTCAAACGTAGGATTTCTTTTATGCTAGGCAGATACTCTACCAACTGAGCTACAACTCCAGCCCCACAAAAGTTATTCTTGTACTTTCAAGCTTGCTAATGTATCCCCAGTCTGTGGCATGTAACAAGATCAGCTAGGGAGCATCAATTCTGACCACATGGTCTTGGCCTCCCTAAGACTTATTTGTCCTGCTGTAGGCCAGAGTAATATGGGATGCCAAACTGAGAACCTTGTTTACAGATTTTTGGCGTCAGAATTGAAAGACCTTTCTTCCTGCCCTTCCCTGTATTGCTGTGCTTTGTGGAACTCAGTTCTGGTGGGTGTGGTTTGCTCCCAGATGTGCAGAGATTGGCAGTCTAGAGAAGTCAGAGGGTAGTACTAGGGTTTGCCCTTGCTGGTTTCCTTCGGGAGCTTGGTGAAAAGCCCTAAGAGTAGGGGTATGTCTACTACTAATCATTTCTCAGAGCCTGTTAAGACATGTGGACACAACTATGGATAGACAGTAAAATGGTTTAGTACACAGAGAGGCCACCATAAGCATGTACTTTAGCTATGACTATCATGGTGGCTCTCTCAGTTGACCAAGAGGAACTGGCTGAAGTACCTTTGATCTTTTCAGGTAAAAGGTGTGTCTAAAGTAGATGGAAAGAAAGTTATTTTCTAGAAGGTGTATATAAATGTGTGTGGTCAGTAATGAGAAGGAGGGAAGGTTTAGGACCTGGGGTGGATCTTTGTCTGAGGCTGGACCAGAGAAGGGTGTATGGAAAGAACCGTAGTCCAGCTCACACCTCCATGGTGCTTCAGGTTCTTTGTCACAGGCCCACTGAGTCACTACTTCTACCTCTTCATGGAACACTGGATCCCTCCAGAGGTTCCCTTGGCCAAAGTCAAGAGGCTCCTGCTGGATGGCCTGCTCTTCGCACCAGCCTTCCTGCTGCTGTTCTTCCTCACCATGAACTTGCTGGAGGTGGGTGTCTGTCCTGGTACTTGCTGCAGCTCTCCAGTTAACAGGATTGGCAACCCTTCTTCCCTGGGTGGGCCTCAGAGTCTAAGCTTTTTACTACTTTCATTTTCTTTTATTGTTTGAGAATTTCATACATGCATATAATGTATGAAATTATATGTATTGATGTATTTTGATCAAACCCATCCTCTATTCCCTCCCCTCCAAGTCCTTCCCTAGCCTTTCTACCACTTTCCCCTCCCTGTACTGTTTTTTTACATTTTTATCTTTAAAATTTATTTATTTTAAAATATTTTATTATTTTTATTTTATGTGTATGAGTGTATTGCCTGTTATGCAATGCCTGTGGAGGTCAGAAGAGGGTGTTGGATCTCCTGGAACTGAAGTTAACAGATGGTCATTAGCCACCATTTGGGAGCTGGTTGGGATTTGGACCTGGGTCCTCTGCAAGAGCAGTCAGTGCTTTTAACCGCTAGCCCCTATTTATTTATATTTATTTAATGTGTATGAGTGTTTTGCCTATATGTATATGTGTACCTATGCATGCAGTGCCCATGGAGGCCAGAAGAGGGCATCAGATCCTCTGGAACTGGAGTTAGGGATGTTTGCTAGCCACAATGTATAGGCTGGGAACCAAACTCAGGCTCTGAAAGAGCAGCCAGTGCTCTTAAATATTGAGCCATCTCTCCAGCCCCATTGCTCTGTTTTTTTGTTTGTTTTTTTTTGTTGTTGTTGTTGTTGTTTTTTGAGAGAGAGAGAGACAGAGGGAGGGAGGGAGGGACAGAGGGAGGGACAGAGAGAGAGAGATTCCATTTAGAGCTGAGCACTGCAATCTCTTGTTCTCTGCACATTGACCAGTTGTGGTCTCTGTATTACTTGTCATTTACTGCAAAAAGAAGCTTCTCTGATGAGGGTTAAGAGAGATGCCTAAGCCAGGCATGGTGGCATACACCTTTATTCTCAGCACTCAGGAGGCAGATGCAGGTGGATCTCTGTGAGTTCAAGGCCAGCCTGGTCTACATAGCAAATTCCAGATCAGTTGGTGCTACAGGGAGACCTTGTCTCAAAAAACTAAACCAAAACAAAAAAACAGAGAGAGGCCCAAGCTGGTGATGTGGCTAAGGGTAGTCTCCTTTTTTCTTTCCTTCCTTTCTTTCTTATTTTTAATATATGTTAATTAAAAAAATTTTTTTTGTATGTATGAGTGTTTTGCCTGTGTGTATGTAAATACACTTGTGTCACGCAGTGCCCACAGAGGCCAGAAGACAGCATTGAATCCCCTGGAACTAGAGTCATGACAGTTGTTAGCTGTCATGTATGTGTTGGGAACTGAACCTGGGTCCTCTGTAAGAGCAGCCAGTGCCACTGAGCCATTTCTCCAGCCCCTCTTTAAATCTTCTGACCTCCATGGGCATTGCATGCCTGAGTATATTTGCATACATGCAGGAAAAACACTCATACACATAAAATTATTTAAAATAAATTAAAAAATTTTTTAATTAATTTACCTCTTTTTGTGTGTTTATGTGTGATGGTATGCATGTGCCGTGGCACGTGTGTAGAGGTTAGAGGACAACTCGGGGGAATCTTTTTTTTTTTTTTTTGGTTTTTTGGAGACAGGGTCTCCCTGCAGCCCCAGCTGGCCTGGAACTCACTATGTAGACTGGGCTGGCCTTGAACTCACAGAGATCCGCCTGCCTCTGCCTCCCAAGTGCTGGGACTACAGGCATGCACTACCACGCCCGGCTGG